TTTAAAGAAACTGTTGCAACACTTTTAATGATCATTTTTGGAGTATGGAATGTAAAGAATATTCGAAAAATACGACAGATTAACCCTACTAACACAACAACTGCAAATGAAACTATAGAAGGCAATGGATCATATTCAAGTTCTTGACGAGATCGACAGTTTGTCTTTTTGTTAGTCAAAGATGTTGTTATATATATATTGTTTACTTTCGTAATGGCAGTTTCACTTATATATGATCAAATGGCACAATATCACATAAAGAGTGCTGCCAAAATCCAAAAAGGAATTTTTCTTAGATATATCGACGTGAAATGAAAAATATTTTGTCATGCCAACGAATATATCATTATTTCTCTAGTGTATTAAATTTAAGGTAGTCAAATACTTAGACTAAAGTACCAACTAAATACAGATTAATCGTTTAATGTTGTATCGTATCGTATATCCATTTTTCCTATGTTATAGTTGATTTTAGTTTTACTTCGATATTTAACGATTTTCAATAAAAGTCTTCAAATTTTATCATTGTAAATTACAAAAATTTTGAAAGTCAAGATGAGATTATTTGATATATCTGTCAGATACTTTTGAATCAACTTTTATAACAAGAAACTGTCAAGAAAATTCTCTACTAATTAGTTTGTCAAGAAGAGTCAAGTGTAACTGTCTGTTAGAGGTGACAGATGTGAAGTCTTTTGCTTCGAGTTAAACTGATGCCTAGACATTACATCTATATTGACATTGGACGTGTGCCAATTTCTGATTGAATAACTAAACAGGTTTTGATCTCATCTAGTTCTTTCTTTGAAAAGTACGGAAACTTATGACTATTTAGTTCCTTTCATATGAGTTAATGTACTGAATATATTATTTTTCTTACTTGTTTCATTTGTGACTACTCCAGATGAGACCATGTAGTAAACACACACAAGTGTGCTGAAATGAAGCCGTCAGAAACTTATTGCTATTTAGAATCAAATAAGACGTTCAAACGAATTTAATTTCTTTTCTAGGTTATGCCTTTATCAAAAGGATTTTTATTGTTGTATTAAATATCAGAAAGAAAGTTTGAAATTTCTTGTTTGTTTTCTGACGTCACAAGTGCATTTGTTCTATATTTTTGGAAAGAGAAAGACAAAAAGAATACTGATTTTTGAATTCAGATTATGAATCATTAAAAAGAAAAGATCTTTATAATTGTATTTTGATTTTAATCACAATGAAGCCATGCCCAGGTTTACGGTCTTTTTTTTATTAAATGCAGCAAATGAAATAAAATATATGGGAATTCTGTTTTCTTGATTTATTTAGAGTGAGAGAATTGTTATGTAACAGTTTACGAACGAACAGACATAAATGTCAATCGAATAAAATGTAAAAATGACTGTACATACAGTGGCTACTTGGTCGTACAAGCAGTTTTTTAAAAAAGTATCACCATGCAGTGGAAAAAAATAACATTCAAGGTGAAAATAGGTGACAGAAAATGTTTTATTTTCAACACCTACGTTTGTAATCGCCTTTCATCTATTGTCGTTTGTTTAAAATGGCATCAGTGCAACAAAATTTACCTATTTCTATATTTCTAACAAAGCAATAAAATAATTCCATCATGATGTTGCTGAATAGGTTCTATTAGTTGTTTTCACAAAACAAAATGCATTGTATACGCAACGAGACAAAAGTGAATTCATTTTTGCTCTTTCTCTAAAAGTAATCACTCAGTCATTTGTTGTATGACAAGAAAAACGACGCATTTTTGCACAATAGTGATTGAAGTAAGAGAAACGATTACATTTTGAATTCTCTTTTCTAACTAGAAATTGATTTTTCTATAAAACACCCTCACCCTAGAAACCATTGTTGATTTATTTTGTTCACTCAGAGTTCACGCAAAATATTTCATTGATATTCTGAATATTAAAGTTCTGTTAGAGAAACTGATTTTATTTGAATAGAAAAACATTTTCATCTTTGGTTTTTTGCCAGGCAAAAACAGAATTTAAATTTTGAGAATACATCCTATTCCGCGATGTTGAACATTCCGGAATCAGTTCCGTTCAATTCCGGGAACTCGATCATGATTCTGTAGAAGAGGCTTACTTGATATTGATCGGGTTTCATCGATTTCCGGGAATTGAATGAAGACGGAATTACACGGAATTCCTGGAAATTTCCTTCTAATTCCGAAATTCCGGAATTGGAAGGAATTTCTGGACAATGGGAGTAATTCCGTCAGGAATCAGTTCCTGCCATTCCTGGAATTGGCGGAACTCGATCGGTGTCGAGTAGGTCTATTATGCCGAATGATGATCGAGTTTCCGGAATTAGATGGAACTGATTCCGGGGGAACTGATTCCGCAATGTTTAACATTGCGGAATAGGATGACTGCTCTAAATTTTACATTAATTTCAAGCTTTAAAGTCAGTAGTAAAATACCATAAGAGAATTAAGCCTAAGTAGAATTAGAGTGTAGCATGCACAATTATTTTCTTTTAGAAAAATTTCTATGAATCCTAATATGTGTTCAGTCAAGAGTTTCGGCGTTTTATCAACAGATCAGATGACACTTCGCCATGTTAAAAGTTACATAATCATATAGTTGTTCTCTCATCCATAATTGTGCACCCTTCACAGGGCTTGGACGATACATAAGAAGCCATAAATTCAACATAGGGCTATCTAAAATAATCTTAGAAGGCATTGTACGCAAACTACCATGAACATTCTTCAAACGATCTTGACAATATAGACCCAGCAAAGTTAAGAACGAACTAAAAATTTGGCTCAAATGGTCAGTCATTATAGAGATATAGACGTCTAAAGTAAAAATACTTAGTTACCTTTGAAGTACACTGCAAAAAAATACTTTTCAGAAAATTTTCTTTTTCTAACGAACAATAAGACTAATAACAGGTACTTTATTTGCCATAGATACTATTGACCACAGATTATCTTTTTATGATACTGAAAATGTGTTGTCAACTAATTTTCTTTTTGATTGGTTGTAAATGTCATTTCGAGAAGGCATGTCAACTACAAATGAGGTTGAATCAGTGTGATGAATTAGATTAAGAATAGTTTCATTTAAAAGAACACAACAGAATACATCGGATGCTGTTTACAGATGTTGATGAGATTGAATATTAGTACATAGAAATCTTCAAAGAAGACCGACATGACCAAATTTCCGCTACGACTCCAATTATAAAAATTGATGAAAGTCTATACCAAGGAGTTTTTAAAACGAAATTTTGAACACTTTGGAACTTAATGTGAAAAATGACAGGATAATATAATTTTTTCAAATCTCATTGGACAATATCCAATTTATCTACCTCTTTTGTGTTGCAAGATTTCAAGTTCGTGAGGTGAGCCACAACAATGTTCTAAAAACAAATAACTCGATTCAGTATCTCGATGTAAGCATTCAATGTTATCCAGTTATACAAATTGTAGAATCTTCGACCAGAGTTTTTCTCATATTGTCCTATTAGAAATCCAGTTTAAAAAAATTCGGCAATGGTCAGTTCGAATTCGATCTATCTGTTTCTAAACGTATCTGCTAATAGAATCGATTACTAAAGAACGTACTAGATGACTCTACAAAGCTGTCGAGATCAAGTTTGCGAGGCGACACAAGCAACACAACAAAATAAGACTTATTTGTATTTTTTACAGCACGATGATTATTAAATTATCAGACTATGAATCATTATTTGCGAAGTTCTTTACTAAAACATTTTAAAACTGACCTAATAATCATGCTCTCATTTTCTATAATTAATCAATTTTCTTTGTTTTCTCTATAGACTCTATCGCGTCGAATATCCAATCATGGGTAGCGGTTCGAGCTTTGAGAGTCCGAGAGCACCTAGTCCACACTTGAAAAAGTCTAGAATACAAGAGAATACAATACAACCAAAAGAGCAACTGAAAGAAGAAATATTATTGCAACCAAAAAAAGAAAAACACTTAAAGTGGCCACTGCCCATAGAAGAAAAAGAGGAAGATTTTATACCAAACAATCATATCGATATAAAACGGTATTCATTAGTTCACGAGCGGTATGAGAAGGTAAGTTGGAAATTTCATCTAACTGCTTACGTATCTATCAGTGCAATCGTCGATAACATTTCATTCATCGCTACTTTTGCTTGTTTTAGTTAATTAATTTCAAGAACTAAAGGTGAATGAGAATATGATCCTACGGCTATCTGTTACATCTTGCAGTCATGCTGATGCTTTATTACAGTAGTGAAACTCGGAATTTTTCTCAGAGTTTCTTTTAATAAGTATACAAATACTATCCAATAATGGATAATTCGAGTATTGCATTCGCATGATTTTTCATATTCGCATCGTTGATATTGAAATTCATAGTATACAACACTCACCAACCAATCTAATCATATTCATTATTCCAAAAAACAATTAATCATATTGAGATAACTATCGTAAGTATTACAGAGACATTGTAAGAACATTCAATTAGTCTGTACTCAGCAACTTTTTGTCAAAAAATTATACTCGTACTTAACTCGTAGCTATCCCTATTGTTGAGAACTCATCGTTCATCCACTGTGTAGTCACCTTACAGATTTGTCGAATATCATCTCTGGTCATTAACCTTATGATATATAAGAAATATTTCAGTTTTGAGAGCTCGCAAAGCCTTCTGTTTCTATTGTTTGATGAAAGTAGTGAAAATCAATCAAGAAACATGTTTTATTCGTACAGTGATTCATAATAGCCATTAAATTTAACAGTTGTGTTCCATTTCTAGGATTTAGTAGCAGCTCGACGATCGATAAAAGTAACAACAATCAATTTTCCACATTCACAAAAAGCGGAGACGAAGAAATCGGACTATGCTGATTCTAAAGTCTTCAATTCAGCACATGTTCAAATGACACTGAAAACTACAACAGGCTTCTCATCTGTCATGTCACCCACAGCCGAAATGAAAAAATTACTGGCTAGACTTAACGTGGCTCATATGGAATCCAACGAGATCATCCAACGACGACTAGAGAGAGTATCGAAGGAAGCAGAACGAATACTTGGATTGATTATTAATGAAACAACAGAAGACCAAAACCGGTTGTTAGAATATGCACAAGAGATACAGGTGCGACATGAAGAATTGTACCGTGAATGGTTGCAAAAGTATATTATTGAACTTGATCGATGGCGATCATCGGAACTGGCCAAACTACATGAAAAATTGGAAAATTCGAAAAAAAGAATGAGTGACGTTCTTCAAAAAAAGTTGACCATTGTCAATCAAGAGGTCGAAGCCGCAAAAAATCAAATTTTTCTTGACGAACAAGAACGACAAGCAAGAGAAGCTGATAATATCGTTTCTGATGTGAAAGCAATTTCACATCAGAATAAAACGCAACATATTGGAACTGAAGCAAATACAGATATTCATTTAAGAATACGAGCAAATGCTGGTAACAGAGACATGAATAGAGAACACCCAAAGTTGAATGATCCATATTATCCTTATTTAGAATAAAAATGCTTAATTAGAGTAAAATTCTAGAAAAAAAATCAATGCAAAAAAATAAAATAATCAATATCATAATTGATTTTGACGTTGCTCGAAGATTTTCGTAGATAACTAATTAATCTAAACGAATTTGTTGGACATGTATGTTTACATTACCAGAAATTTTATCAAAATTCTGTCTATAGAAAATTATCTAGCATGTTTGCATAGAAAAGTCATTAATTTATTTATGTGCTCAAAATACAAATTTTACTTTTTGAAGATAAGTCTTTATATTTATGTAAGAATTTATTTTGTCGGTACCTACAACTGTATTAACAAGGAACGATCCAACTATGGTAAGCCATCGAGCCGTTAACTTTCAATAATTGAAAACGTGCTTTGACACGTGAGCTACTCCATTATCATCTCGATTACTTAAG